ACATCCCCTCCCCCCATAGCTGCTATCCTGCTCTTTATGAGTTTGTCTTTATTTTGCTTGTTAGTTCAGTTTGTTCATTAGATTCTACATATGAGTGAGATCATATGGTATTTGTCTTTCTCTGACTGGCTTATTTCACTTAGCTCAGTGCTCTTCAGGTCCATCCTTTGCGAAGTGTCTGTTAAGGTTTTTTCCCCCTGATTAATAATTAGCGTCTTTCTATCATCAATGAATAGTGTGTGCGTGTGTGTGCGTGTGTGTGTACATGTGTATCTATCTATATCTAATCTGTATATCTATATTTATATCCTGGATACAAGTCCTTTGTTAGATATATATTTAGTCAGTATCTTTCCCAGTCTGTGGTTTGCTTGTTTTCTTAATGGTGTCTTTGACGGGCAGAAAGTTTTAAAATTTGATGAAGTTCAGATTTATCAGTTTTGTTTTCTGTCAAAGCAATCTGTGCCTACCCCCGTGGGCAAAGATGTTCTATGTTTCCTTCTAGAAGCTTTATGGTTTTACGTTTTACATTTATGCCTGTGATTCATCTTGAATTAATTTCTGTACCACTTAATGACCAAAGTATGTTCTTGATTGATAGATGAGAAATGCATTGTTAGCTGATTTTGTTGTTGTATGAACTTACCCAGACCTAAGTGGGATAGCCGACCACACACCTAGGCTGTATGGTCTGCCACCATTGTATCTGCAGTCTATCATTGACCGAAATGCTATGCAGCACATGACTGTGTATGGAATGAGATAGGGATTGAGATTAATCTCTTTTCCACATGGACCGTCAGCACCATGTGTCATAGACTATTCTTTCCGTGTTGAATTGCCTTGGCATCATTTTAAAGAATGAATTGACTGTGGAGTTCCGGTCAAGATGGAGGTGTAGTAGACAAGCTTCGCCTTCTCTGGCAATACTAATTTTGATAGGAGAATTAAATTTATGTATCAGTTTAGGGAACACTGACATGATCTTTCCATCCATGAACATACTACTTCTTTACATTTGTTTAGGTCTTCTTTGAGTTCCCTGAGTGGTGTTTTGTAGTTTTCAGTGTCGAAGTCTTACACATAGTCCATTTGGTTTATTTAAAAGTATTTTCTTAATGCTCTTGTCACTGGTAAGTTCTTAAACTTTCATTTCCAATTCTTGCGAGATATGCTGACTTCTTCATTTTGAGTTATTTGCTCCTAGGTGACTAAGTTTTTCCAATCCCTAAAATGCATTTCAGTTTAATCCTGAAAACAAAGAGAAGTTAATTAAAATAAATTTGCAACATTGATGTTAGTACATACCTATTCTGTTAAAGTAACACTGTTGGTGTTTTCTCTATTTGATCAGTGAGTGTTTTTCTCATAACTCTCTTGTTTTTATGATTTTGCCAGCATTTTTCTCATATAAGTAAGTCCATGCTATCTTTTTGTGGCTGTTAGTAGAACACAGGATGCTTTAGATTTTTTTTCTTTCATTTGGTCCCTGAATGAATTAAGTAGGAATACCTTTGGGCTCTCAGTGGTGGGAAGGTTTGGTTATTGGGGATCACAAAAAAAGAAGGGCAAAGAATAAAATAAACCTTGAAAGCAAGAAGAAAGTGACTTTGGTTTCATCAAGTAATAGTGAATGCTTGAGCTTGTGTCTAGTTGGAGGGCTCGGGCATAGAAATAGAAGGAAAGAAATGAACATTTATTTTGGGATTGGAAAATCTTGAAACCCTCGTTTTAGGGGTTTGGTTTCTCATGCCTAGTAGACAATCAATCACTGCAGATTTTAAAGTTAAGAATGTGTATAATAATGATACCATTTTACTTATGGGCCTCGTAAATGAAACATCTAAAAAAGTTGTGTCTGTTGTATTCCTGTTTTAAACCATAGATATCTTTTAGACTTTATATAATTTGTGGCTGCCAAAATAAATTATCATAAACTCAATGGCTTAAAGCAAAAGAGATTTATTCTGTCACGACTCTGGAGGCTAGTAAGTTCAAAATCGGTATAACTGGGCTGAAATCAAGGTGTTGGCTGGGCTGCACTTCCTCGAGAGGCTCCAGAGGGGAGTCCATTTCTTGTCTCTTCCAGCTCCTAGTGGCTGCCAGCGTTCCTTGGCCTGTGGCCTGATTACTCCCATCTTTAAGGCAAGTATCTCAGATCTCTCTCTCAGGCTTCAAATCACCTTCTCCTCTCTGTGCCAAATCTTCCTCCGTCTCTTTCTTATAAGAATTCTTTGTATATATCCCAGCTAGGTAATTTTTCTATTTCAAGATATTTAACTTAATTTTATCTACAAAGGCTTTTTTTTTTCCAAATAAAGTAACATTTACAGGTACCAGGAATTAGGACCTAATATCTTGGGGTTCTATTATTAGCCTATTACAGAATGTATCTTTTTGTTGTTTTATAGACCTTCATTTTGTTCTGGAACTTGCCTTCAAAACAGATCGGACTGAGGCTTTTAGCACCCAAATGACATACTTATTTTCTTGCTATAACTACCACTTTTTCTTTGAACCCTGTGTCATGGAGTAAAATGTATTGCATTCTAATAGCACAACAGAATTGACTTAAAAGCCTGAGGTGATGAGTTACTTAATTAAACATAGTCAGGAAAATACCACATTGGTGAAAGAGATTGATTGAATTTTGCTTTGACTCTCATTGAACTGCTATGTGCCTCAATAATATTTAATGGTAGCTTTTAGTTTGGGGCAGCCTTGGTTTTGTAGGACTTGCTTGGTCAGGTTGGTACATAATCAGGTCCCATCTGTGCTATTCTTTGTACCAAGTACAAAGGCCAAGTACCTTTATACAATGATCAAGTACAACTTTATAGTTGCCGCCTGTAAGACATTACCTATAGGTGTTCTTAGTCTATACTTCTACTGTATAGCTACTAGTTTAGAATGATTTCTCTGGGGTCTTACTCAATGCTTGTGACATAGTGACATTGAGTTTTCACATATAAGTGTATCTTACTGTATACCAGTGGCATGTTTGATCATGTTGCATGTAATAACACTGATTCATAGCAAGCATGCTACACAAATCTTCACATAGTATTAGAAGAGTGGGTCATCTAGAGAAGTTTAATATAGCCAACTCTACTGTGGCTTTGGAATATTACTTAAATATCGTAGCTTTAGGGATTGCCTAAACCTCAGTATGGGAATAATTTTTGTGAGGACCATTTGATAAATTATAGCCCCAAAAATTTTTTTATTTTTATTTTTTAATAAAGCTGTATTTTTCTTTTCTTCAGTCATTATATGAACTAGCTTAAATACTTAAATGTTGATATCCCAGCAATTTGGCATAGGAAGAGAATTTTCCAAAGGGTATATGAACTAGCTTAAATATTTAAATGTTGATATCCCAGCAATTTGGCATAGGAAGAGAATTTTCCAAAGGGAAATGGAAGCCTAATTCTCTTTGTCCTATAATCTTTCTCCAGCATGCATGATGTTCATTCATTCTCCTGTGCAACCAAAGATCACAGCTGCTTTTGTTCTGCTAGTTGAGGACATGAGCGGTGTGAAGAAGTTCAGCATGAGGACAAATTCACTCTCAAAGCCAATAGTCAACATTATGATTAAACACTTAAATACTTTCTGAATTCTGCATTGAGAATTGAAGTCATTTGGCTTCATGTTTCTCACTACAACTTACTGTGAGGCTTTGGCTTTAGCAACTTGGATAATAAATGACATGGTACTTATAAATTTTTCATGCTCTCTAAATGTCTGTAAAGCAATCAATGAAAGAATTTAAATGATTATATCATTAATTGATGAGTATGTGAAGTAATCACATTAGTGTCATGAAATGTGAATATGTTCACTTGCCTGTTTTATTATAAAAATGTTTTTAAAAGAGCAAGAACTAAAGGGAAAAAAACTGCTGTTCAAATTGCAAAGACAACTTTTAAAATTAAAATTTGTTCTGTAACATATTATCTAAACCATTTAGAGTAATTGCTGGTTGAAAGTTCTGGGTAAATACTATTGAGTGCTTCCTTATTTACTTGAAAGCAAAAAATTACATATCTCAATATATACTAGTTATTCCCAGATTATTTAAGTGAAATGTCTCTAAATTTAAATAATCTTTCCTTTCTTGTTTGTTGAGAGACTGCTGAAAAGCAAATGACATTTATTCTTTCAGAAGAACTGAGTAAAAAGGCGAGGGAGAAAAAAAGGGAAAAAGGGATAATATAAATGAGGTATCCAGGAAGCCATGTTTACATTATCGTTTGAGAACTGAATTGGCATAAAACTTTCTTTGACCGGTGTACAGAAATTACTACACATTGAAAACATTCTTAAAATTTTCTTAGACTTAGTAAACACATGTGAGAAAGATTTTACTAATGAATTAATACATATTCATGTATTTCATGGAGCTCTTTAAGGTTTATAAATCTGTCCTAGAGTAACCATTTTTTCAATAAAAATTTGTATGTGGGGATTTGTAACTTTAACATCTTCAGGGCTGAGCTAGAAGATGAAAAGTGTTTTATTTTAAAGTATGATTGTATAACCTAATTTCATAAGTAAAAGCTAGTTAGTACTCAATTCATGATGATATCTATAGCCATGCACACATTATATATAAGGAAGTTTCATTCTCCACATAGTTTGTGTTCTTTGTCAGATCCTGCTGGTCTGAATGTGCCTATTTCTGTTTGTGTTAGTCATCCTCAGTAGGTAAATTGTCCATGAGACCAGTGATTCCATCCATCAGCAAATTATCCAGAAAATGCTGTCTTTGCACGTTGTGACAGGTCATGTCACTGGTGGATTTACAGCTACTCCAGTGGTCTAATTACCCTGGCAAGTTGTCTCCTGTGCCCAACACTGTTGTCTTGTTGCCGTGGCATCTTAGTTTTATCTTCTCATTACCTTTTCTCTTAACTAAAGATCAGATGTACAATTTTTTTAATCCTACCCCTACTTAACCCTCTGTATTCACCATTCCCCTTATTTCTGATTGGCAGTATCATCCAGATAAACAAAGTGCAGATGTGCCAGCAGGAACAGTGGAGGAATGTATGCAGAAGTTCATCGAAATTGATCAGGCATGGAAAATTCTAGGGAATGAAGAGACAAAGAAAGAATATGACCTGCAGCGGCGTGGTAGGTACTTGTGGTGGGGAGCCACGGCACACTGGCACCTTTCCGGAGCACAGTCTGCCACCTTTCCTGGGGAGCATTTTCCAACATTTGCACCAAGTTATGGCCTTCTTTACTCCCCCAACATTATATTTAATTATGCCCTATTCTTAGTAGTGATCATTGTATATCCATTGATAAGTTAACAAAACTACTAAGATACGGCTTCTTATGCTGTGAATGCTACTTTTTGTAATTAATGAAAAATGTTTGATTGAACAGCCCTAATTAATGTTTTGTTTAAAAACTTATTTTTATTAAATTTAATTATATACTGATTAAAATTTTAATTAGAGTACTTTTAAGACTATAAGTGACAATATAGAGGAAGATACTACATGAGGTAACATAAGGCACCCTGCTGTCTCCGAGCTTTTTTTAAGCTAGGTTTCCTGATTATCTCTTGGATAAACTATTTCTTATAAGATGGCTATAAATGGTATTTTAGGAATGAACATTTCCCAAGAAGTTTTGTAAGTCATTTCTTTTATGCATTTTAGAAAATTGCTTCTTAAAACAGTGACAAGCTCTTGTGAGAAACAAAGGGAGAAATGTAGGTCAGGTTTGTCACACATGGACTGCAGTTACACAAAGTGATGGGCTGTCTTTCAGCACTGGCCTTGGGAGAGGAGTCGCTCAGCCTTCTATTGGAACCTTCAATATGTACCCTACATGTTAACGGGGGGAGTCAATAATCAGTTACAGCCTGTGGGGAGAACGCTCAGCTGCACTCTGCAGTAGTGCACCAGGCTCAGCATTGACTTGTATGTGTTGATAAAAGCTCACTGTCCCTGTAGCTGATTACTGAACCCCCTTCCATGTCTTACACTGGCACACCATCAAGCCTAGCAAAGTGACTTTAAAACCCACACGACTGTGATGATGAAAATATGACCTGAAAATCAAGGCTGAATTTCTAAAATACATTGTTACAGGATAAAGCCAGTGATATATATAGAATATCCGTATTTATTTTCAGAGGGAGTTGTACCAATAAAATTAGGTATTTCTTACAGTGTTAGATATCTTTGTGTGTGAAGTCTTCACGAGCTATTTGTTTATGTACTGGCATATTTGTTTTTAATAGTGACTTTCATACCACTGACCAGCTCTGCGGCCCTTCTACTTTTTAAAAGACTGATAAGCTTTTTTTTTTTTTAATGTTAAGAAATTGATGAGTATATCTTTGCAATGAATTGGGATGAATTTTCAAATATGGCTTGGATATCTTGTCCTGCTTCTATTTGGCGCCTATAGGAGGAGCTTTCAAATGTTGTATTTCTGCAGTAAATGTGTGTGTACTTCTGAGACAGCACGAGAACTTGGGCCTGGGACTAGCACAGACGGAGTGGCCAGAAATCCAAAACCTCAGCACCGGCAACACTTCTGGCAAAAGCGTGTAGAGGTGGTTCCAGTGAGGATGAATTCTATCTATGCATATATCTTTTTAACCTTGGTTCACATGATATAATTTCTGTGAAAGTATTGAAACTAATACTCATGAATGTGTTGTGTGTAAGAAGCTATCTGTGTTTCTAAAGCAACCAAGCTGTGCTGGAGGTGATTATTGTTGCTCGGTGCTGTTGTGCCTCTGTATCAGTCTCGACTCTGCGGGTGCTGATTTGCTTAAGATAAGGAAGATCCGCAGAACTGGGCCTGAAGGAGTGCAGGGTGTGTGCTGGCACTGTCACTCTGCATTGCTGCCGCCCCGCAGCCTGGGTTCTATTAACAACCTGGCCGTGAAACTGACTAGACGCCTGCTGTCGTAGGAGAGAAGAGGTAGGGAGAGATCAAGAATCAAAAACTATTCTCTCTTGCTATGGTATAGGGTGGGGTAGACCAGAGATGGAGAAAAATAAGAAACAGTTTGACGTGGGTAATAGAATTGCATGAAAGAAGGTTGAAAGAGATCCTGGAAGAACAAATAGTCAACATCTTCAAGCCTTTCCCGTTGCCTTTGATATGTCCTTGGGATGTGGATTTCTTCTGAACTCTGAGTCCTTGGTTTTAAGTTTTTAATGAGAGCAACTGTGGCCTGCTGTTTCATAGGGTTCTAGGTCATTGATAAGGTCACAATAAAATTTACACAAACCAAATACAGTGAGAGTTGGTCATGATTCATGATTCAGATAACGAGGCAGATCTTCCGCTCGGGATTTATATAATGGCACATTGCTTTGCAAGCTTTCCAAGCAGGCTGAATTAAGATATTCTAGAAGAAAAGTAGAAATAGTTCAGCTCTAAGTACTAAATATCTTCTTTGTTAACTAGAGGCTCCAGTTAGTGAAAATGCTTTCTTTCCGTTTTAAATTGAGATTGGCTTGCTGTTTAGATAAGAAATAGAAGTCGCTTACCCAAATATAGCTTGATGTTTTCAAGTTTCATACTAGGGCTATTTTAAAAGTCTCATAATAAACCTAGTTTCATATTGTCATTTGTTTTTTAATTAAGTTTTTCTTCTTGACCCTTTTTCAGTAAGTGGCCCCTCAAAAGACGGAAATGAACTTGAACTTCTCACAGAAAGGATTTAGATTTGGTAGAAGGAAAACCTTTGAGAGTGATAATTTGTTAAAGACCAAGATAGGTTACCAAGACAGAGAGAATTTGTTATAACCAGGTCAAAGCACTCTTTTTTTTCCTGGGTCACCCCCTACGGACATGGAAATAGCTTTGTTATACAGAATTCTTTTTGCTTGTAGTGATAGTCCATTGTAGAACTTTCTTTTCTTCGGGTACGTTTTAAATATGTTTGTTTCCTGCCCGCCTTTAAACTGGGAGTATAAAATAAATTTGAGGCAGGAGATGTTTTATTGGCTAATGTTGAATGCATTCTTATATCAGTATTTCACAGTTCATGGTGCCCTGTTGCAAGGAAAGCCTCATCAGTATTGCCCACAATCATTTATTTCTCTAAAAGATCATTTAAAGGAGCCCTTGACATCCATATTTCTTTGCTTCACAAAAGAAATGATCAATGAGTTCTAATAAAGAAAAAGTCCAGGGTAGATAACCTAAAGTAAAGTACATATATTTTTTTCTTCTTTGTTTCCACTTCTATATTTCTAGTTGACATTTTAGGGCAATGTTGGCCAGGCTGAAAAATAGCAAATCTAAAAAAAGAATGATATTCAGTTCCCAGAGAGTATACATTTTGAAAGCGGTGTTAACTAGTGGATTTAATCAATTAGTTCCAGTTGGCATATTTACCTTATTGTTTCTAAAGAAAGTCTTCCCAAGTCTGCTTTCCATGTTCTCTTGAACGGTATGTAGTTGTTCGAGATTAGGCTTTGCGTTTTGGACAACCAAATGAACACTCGTGGAAAATCTTTCCAAGACTTATAAAATGTTCACTTGAATAATATCCATTAAATAGATTTTGGTGCCTTTATAAATCTTAGAGAATTTTCTCATATATTAAGCACATTAAAACACATCAGAAGGATATCACGGGAAAATAATAGGGATCATGATTCAATAGTTTCATAATGACAGTCACACACATCTCTGATGTCTCAGGGGCTCTATAGAGTGACACAGCTTATGAGTTAGGTTACTTCTCCATGACCTGAAGAGGAACAGATCTTCACATGAAGTCAGTCAAATTAAATAATGTTTTAAAAAACTAAGGGGATTGTGTTGGGAACCCTTGGTGGTGTGTTATTTTGTGTTAAGTTGTATCTTGGTTTTCTGTTAGTGAATTATTTTGGAAATGTGGAGCCTTCACTCTAAACAATTGGCCAAGATACTAAAAACAGCCTGGCTCAGGAGGAGTTTGGACTAGACATTGTAAAGTTAGTGTGACTTTACTCAGAGTTAGTCAGCTAGATAGAAAAGGTCATTTCTGGTGTGGTATCATACAGTTCACCTCATCTATTTAATAGGACAAATATTTGATAATGGGAGGTAAGCAAATTCATCTTGAACCAAATGAGGAAAATATCTTAAAACCCCCAACAACATTTATGTCAGATGGCTGAATCAATATGTAATTCTTTAAGGTCAGAATAAGGAGCCTTTCTGAAAAGCAAGTTAATGCTAAAGACTGATTAACTCCACAAGAAGGGAAGTAATTCTTGTAAATGTAGATGACATGAATTTGAGTTAACTGTTAGGAATGATATCTGTGTAAATTATGTACTAAAACTGACCCTTACGAAATACTCGTTGTGGTCAGATTAGGCTTTCCATTTATGGTCATATCAGTGTTTCCGTTTGATTTTAGGAATTTGAAAATGGACTATAAAAATGTGCTTGAGGTAAAACTTAAAGATAAGCATCAGAGGGCGGGTGTGTGTGTGAGTGAGTGAGTGTGTGTGTGTGTGTGTGTGTGTGTGTGTGTGTGTGTGTGTGTGTGTGACTGTTTCTGGGAAAAGTAAATATGTGAAATGATGCAGAAAATCCATCTAGACAGTTAGGGATTGGCATTTTCTTTAGAGGGAGAAGAGAGTCCAGACAAAACTTTCTGAGAGTTCTCCTGCTCCGTTTTATTTGTCACAAGAAGATGACTACTCACATTATTTGTTACTTCTACTTATATGCAAATAACTGTTTTTGAAATGAAAACATACTTTAAGATCATTTCTCAATGCTTTTAGATAAAATTTGGCTAGTTTCAAATAATGCTATAGAAACCTATGGGCACAATTATGATCATAATTCTGGTATGTTAGGACATAATTGGGGATTCTGATTTAATAGAGGAAACATATGATTTGGGGAAGTTTATGTCTCCAGCTGTAACCTCCCTCCCAATGTCTGTCTGGGTACTTGACCCAGTTGAAATCACTGGGTCCAAAACCAAGGCTGCATCGCCGTTCTCATTGCTTGTTTTTTCCCAGACTTGAAACAGGTTCATATTACACTCTGATTACTTCGCCTTTGCTCACTACACAGCCAGTGAATTAGAAACAAGTGCTGACATTCCTTTTATTTTTTTCTATGTGATCTTATGCTCACAGCTACCA